AGTCAAGGTTTTTGTATTTTGGTACAACAATTCCTAGTAGATTTTGATGTACAATGCTTCAGTTAGAATACACCTAGTCAAGGTTTTTGTATTTTGGTACAACAATTCCTAGTAGATTTTGATGTACAATGCTTCAGTTAAGTCAAGGTTTTTGTATTTTGGTACAACAATTCCTAGTAGATTTTGATGTACAATGCTTCAGTTAGAATACACCTCTGTTTGGTTCTTATATTTTGATCATGGAAGCTAAGTTTCCTTCTTTTATGCAATCTGATTGCTTGTTCTTCGAACTTGCATTTCTGAACTGGCACAGGAGAATATCCAGGAGCAAATTACCAGAGTGCTGATTGAGCGCCTGATAGTAAACCGACCTCACCCGTGGGGCTTGCTGGTTACTTTTATTGAACTGATTAAGGTAACTTTTGCTTGCTATACTCCTTTCTTCTCTTTTTCCCTTTTGTTTTTGGGTTATTACGATATTAGTCCCTCAAATCTTTCATATTTTGATATTAGTCTCGAATCATGGAAATTGCTATTAGGTCCTCCAAATTCTATCACTTTTGATATTAGTCCCCTTAGTCCACACACATTTGAATTGGATGCTATTCCTTCGACTTCAATTGTTTAGGTGCGGAATGCCTTTTACACCCTTTTTCATACAAATCCAAACGTGTATCTGTTTACACACCCTAACCCATTTTAGTAAAAACCAAACCAAACCCAGACCCATTTAAACATTCATCTTCCCCGGTAGTTCTTTAGTGTGCGTGGTTCGGTAATTATGTGTCCATTGTTAAGCACTAACTGGTTCGGTAATTATGTGTCCATTGTTAAGCAGTAACCAGATCATGGCTTACAGATTGAATGGATCTTGTGAAGGACTACACAATATTAACATGATTCGGAGGACCCAATAGTAATTTCAGTGATTCGTGGGACTAATCTCAATATGGAAATAACCCTTTTGTACATAATTTTTTTTTAATAATCTTGATATATTTATATATATACACAACTGTGTGCAGAATTCACGATACAGCTTCTGGAATCGGTCTTTTACCCGGTGTGCACCTGAGATTGAGAAGCTATTTGAATCAGTTTTAAGAACATGTGGTGGTCCAAAGACAGTAGATGATGGAATGGTTTCTGGCATCCAAGATGGCAGCCATTGATGAATTTCAATTATATTTACATTTTATTTGTCTAAATACCACAAAAACACTTTCTTTTGTACTATTGACTCTGTAGAACACAAGCACAATCAGTACATATATAAACGTTATGTGTAGATATAACCCTTATGTGTTTTGAAACCCTCCATCATGTTTGTATGTATATGGAAAGTGATTGTAGGCTCTTGCACACAGCTCGCTCGAGACAGAGAGAAACGAAGAATGTCGTTATTTAAATCAAAGAAGATAATCTGATGCTAAAAAAGCGACAACACGCAAATTAACAAAACGACGAAATGAAACAGCCAGAAGGTGTCTAACTTGTGAAACACAATAATGTGTCTCACGCCCCAAGTGTGAGACACAAAAGAGTTTCTCGCACCCCAAGTGCGAGACACAACAATGTGTCTCGCACAAGGAGGGTGCCCCGACATGTTTTCTGAAGGATTTTTTGGGATTTGTGCATCTGATTTCCTAACTACCTTGGTAGTATCCTTAAACGGGGGAAAATCGTTATTAGCCGAAGATATGATCAAATTATGAGATTTTATCTACAAACACAGCGTTTGAAGTTTATAAATACACCCTTTCGTGTATTTGTGACAGGTGATTTGGAATTTTGGACTTGGAGGCAAGTTGATGACGATTTTGAGGGCAAAACCCACGAATTTCAGAGAAAAAGAGGTTAGATCTGCGGAATTCCTGCGCCTAAAGAGAGGATTTTGAGAGATCTGCAAGCTTTTCACCCATTCCCATGATATCAGGCCTTGTTTTGATCATGAGAAGAGTAATAATCTCACTTTGTTGAGGTTATTCACTTTTGTTCTAAGTTTCCTTGATTGAAACAAAGAACACTAAGCCTTTTTTCGGATCAACTTGGAATTGTTATTCGGCGGTCCACGGATCAAAGCATCCCCAACACATGCAAAGATCCCACGCAAGCAGCGACCGATAAATGATCTCTGCGTGTGTTTCTAGGAAGTCTTGTGTGTATTCTTATGTGTAGAGAAGTTTTATAAAAGGTTAAATCTCGTGAATCTATAGTAATCGATAAACGACTTGTAATGGATTCCACTAAGAAATTGATAAAACACGCTGGCGATCACAGTGGGAGCCTACAGCCTCTCTGCCGAGGCTGTCGTGTTGCAACCGAAGATCAAGATCCCGGTCGAGTATGATTTTGACCAACAGAAGTTTGAGGAGTACATCGTATCCTTCTCCTCTGGATCATCCTCTCCTCGTAAGTGTAGGAGGATCTCTTCATCGAAGAAGGTTCGTTGGTCTTCGGATTTGAAGAAGACCCAGGGTGAAGATTCTCGCCCAATCGTTGTTGACGTTTCCCCTCACAACATCTCTCCGACATCCAACGAAGTCGGAATTTCTGCTCGCAACAACTTCTCCTCAGTCAAGGAGTTATTTTTTGAAAGCGCGCCAGTTCTGACGAAGAGGGCTTGTCAGATGCAGCATCAACGTCTCGCACGTCAGCTCGCCAAAACATTAGAGCCGGTTGACGGGATCTGTTACCACATGGATCTGGAGTCAAGGAAACGTCAAGTCATCTAGACGCCTCAACGACAACATACTGATGTCTCCTCCAAGCCATCAACCAACGAATAGGTCCGTGTTAAAAGGATTCCTTCGTCTCTCCAGGAACGCATCTAGAAACGTCATGTACTTCTCGCGCACGCGCGTATTCTTATGCAGAAGGCACATGAATTACAGAAAAAGGGGTGGTAAAAAAACCACCAAAACTACAACAAGTCTGGATACCAAAGCCCAAAACGGCATCGAAATCAACTCGGAAGACGGCCGAACCAGTCTCTGATGGCTAAGACACTTCAGAGTGTCTCGCCCAAAAAGCTGTTCCCACAGCTGTTTCTTCGCTTTCGTCAGCCTCTGTTCCTGCTCCGGTCTCTTCCGTACCTCCGGTGAAGCTTCACGGCACCATGGATCTGTCCAGATTCAAGATAACGATGACGAATCACCTTGATACTTTGCACGTCGAAATCAACTCGGAAGACGACCGAACTAGTCTCTGATGGCCAAGACACTTTAGAGTGTCTCGCCCAAAAAGCTGTTCCCACAACTGTTTCTTCGCTTTCGTCAGCCTCCGTTCCTGCTCTGGTCTCTTCCGTACCTCCGGTGAAGCTTCACGGCAACATGGATCTGTCCAGATTCAAGATAACGATGGTGAATCACCTTGACACTTTGCACGAGGATCGAGGCAAAACTTTGGTTAAAGAACACTTAGGTCCGGTGAACAAATCCCAAGCGACTCTTCAGACCGGGAGTCGTACGCTTCCTCCCACCAAGTCAAAGCAATCCCAGGTTGGGAAAACTCCGATTTCTACCCACTTGGGGGTGCGTGTCGAAGTCCAGGATCGTTGAGGTTCCACACCCGTAAGGCTATGCGATTCCTGAGAACGCCAATAAGATGACACATCCACGGAAGAAGACGTGTCTATCAGACAACAACGTCATACCTGGAGAATCGTGCCAACACAAGATAGGTTGCTTCGGCCATCATGACGATGAGTTGTACTATCAAACTGGGGGTAGGAACAAGCCTCGGAAGAGAAATGCTCGAGAAACGAACTCTCACTATCCATATGAGAGGCTTATCAGGGTAGTATTATCAGAGTATAGCTGCCCCAAGACCGCTCCGCAAAGGGCCTTGGTATTTGAAAGACTTTCCATTGAAGCGTCGAAGCCAAGCCAAGACGTTTCCGCAAGAGAAGATCGACCGTTCAAGATGATGAACTCCCAGAAGTCACCATCAACATGGCCGATGAAGGGAAGTCAACACGACACTCCAATCCCGACTCTTTGCCGTTGATATTCCAACGTTTAACTCGGTTGCACTTCGGAACTATCTGACGTAGAGATTATCAGAGGATGTAGAGATGGCTATCCTCAGATGATGAAGCATCGGACGCATGCTCCGCAGTCACCTCAGACCACACTATGTCCAACATAGGAAGAGTTCGAGAGGTGTTCACGATCACTACTGAGTGTAGGCATTAAAAAATTACCTATAGGTTCCCGCACATAGATCGAGACGAAGATAAGACGATGAACGTCTCATCCTTTCTGCCGAGGCTGTCGTGTCGCAACCAAGGATCAAGATTCCGATTGATGTAGAGGTCGAGTACGAGTTCGACCAACAAAAGTTCGAGGATTACGTTTCATCCTCCTCCTCCAGATCCTCCTCTCCTTGCAAGTGTAGGAAGATCTCTTCTTTGAAGAAGGTTCGTTGGTCTTCAGATCTGAATACCTAGGGAGATGACTCTCACCCAATTATTATTGAAGGTTCCTCTCTCAACGCCTATTCGGCATCTAATGAAGTCGGATCTGCTACACGCAACAACTCCTCTCCTGTCAAGGAGTTATGCGTTGAGGGCGTACCAATTCTGACGAAGAGGGCTCACCAGAGGTAGCGCCAACCCTTGCACGCCAACTCGCCAAAGCCTTGGAACCGGTTGACGGGATCCGTTATCATGCAGATCTGGAGTTTACGAGGTGTCAAGTGACTAAGCCACCACAACAGCAAGTAATTGATTCCTCCTCGAAACCATCAACCAACAAGTAGGTCCGGGTCAAAAGGACTCGCTCAACTCTCGAGGAGCGCATCCAGAAGCATTGCATAGTGCTTGTGCATGTATGAATTCTTGTGCAGAAGGCGCATGAATTACAGAAGGAAGAGGAGGCCAAAGAACCGCCAAAATCGCGCCAAGCCTGGATGCCGAAATCCGAAACGACGCAAAAATTAAGTCGGAAAACAGCGGGATCGGCCTCCCATGGCTGAGACACCCCAAGGTGTCTCATGAGCCAAGACACCCTAAGGTGTCTCGCCCATGGCCGAGCTACCCCAAGGTGTCATACCCATGGTCGAGGCAAGCAAGCCTATCTCGCCCAAAGAGACCCCTCCGCAGCCGCTTCTCTACCTCCGTCGACTTCTATTCTGGGTCCACCTGCTACCGTACCTCTGGTGAAACCTCAGGGAAGCCTGGACCTGTCCAAGTTCAAAATCACAATGGCAGATAGACTTGGTTCTCTACACAAGGATCGAGGCAAAGCTCTGGTAAAAGAATGCTTGGGTCCGGTGATCAAAACCTAAGCAATTCCTCAGACTGGGGGTCGTACAAACGTTCCCGTCAAGCTAAATGCTGCTCAAAGGTGTCTCGCCGCTTTCGAACAAACCAGGACACCTCAATGCAGTTATTTGTGCGACGTGCACAAAAGAGGCAAGAATGCCTCCCATTCCGGGAGAATTCCTATCACTTCTTGCCTGGGGGTTCGTGTCGAAGCTCAGGAGCCCATTGAGATCCGACACTCGTAAGGGCGTGATTCCAAACATGACTCCTAAGAACGCCAATAAGGCGTTACATCCCCAGAAGAAAACGTGTCCGTCAAGGGATGCCGTTATACCTGGAAAGTCACACCAATAAACGATAGGTTGCTCCGGTCATTATACCGATGAGTTGTACTATCAGGCTGGTAGTACAAACAAGTCTTAGAAAAAAATATTCGAGAAACCAGCTCTCATTGTCCTTGTGAGAGGATTATCAGGGTAGTATTATCAAAATATAGCTGTCCCACAACCATTTCACAAAGGGTCTCGGTATTCGAGAAACTTGTAACTGAAGCATCAAAGCTCAGTTCAAAACGCTTCCACAAGAGAACATCCGCCATTCAAGATGATGAATTCCCTGAAGTCACAATCAACATGGCTGACAAATAAAAGTGCGATTGCTTCAAATAGCTCTAATCTCGACTTTTCTTCGGGAAGAAAAGTCAATTCAGAAATAGCCCAACGAATATCTCAACTCCAGCTAGGAGCCATCAGACACTGGGATTACCTGAGAATGTATGAAGAACTATCTTTTGATGATGAACTTTCGGATACCTGTTCCGCAATCACCTCCGATGATACAATGTCCAGCATAGGGTCTGGCAAAGGGCAAGCAAAGGAAGCGTTCATGATCACTCCTGATCAACTAACTCAGATGCTTCAGGGCGTTCTAAAGAGGCAACAAGAAGAACTCAGGGTTGAGATGAAAATAGAGATGGATTTGGTCATGCATCAAATGAGAGAGTTGCAGACTCAACGACTTCAACCTTCTGAGTCCAGTTCGCAAGCTGAATCCAACCGTCACACTCAGAACGTCACAGATGACAGTGATCCA